GGGGGGGGGGGGCACAGAATCAATAATCTTTCGTATAACTCGACATTTCGCTCAGCTGAATTTTTCCTGCAAAAAAATAGGTGAACTTAAAGAGGATGAAAGAAATGAAACTTTATGAAATCGCAACAAATCGTCGTATTTTTTTTTTTTTTTTAAGATAGTTATAAAACTTAAAGGTTTCTCTTCATTGGAGGACCATTATTCTCTTTCGTCGGTTTCAACGTTCGAGAATATGCGAATATTCATGAACTTCTGTAAAAACTTTTCGATTTTTATCATTTATTGCAGGATCGCGTTTTATTCGATCACTCTGCCACATCACCGCAGATCTTTCTAAAGCGCGACAATGATCGCGAAGAATGTGAGATGCGTTGAGAGTCCCGTACAAATATTCACTTTCAAGATGTCTCGCATATATCCGGCCAAGACCGAATCGAATCTTTGCATGCATAACCCAAAATGCTGACTACGGTTACACGGTTGTCTCGTTTCAATTTCAGATGTAATTCTGAATTCGAATCGAGAGCAAATGGGATCAAGTGGCTGTAAGTAACATTAAATCACTTGCCAGAATACCAATTCAAAAGCGTTGATTATTACGAAGCAAGGATTACTTAATTATAAATGTATATCAAAAAAGTTATAATTCAAAGAATACGTTACACACAAATTCTGTAAAAGAATTTATAAAAGAATCGGGTAAAACAATTATATTACTACAGAAACAGCGCGATAAGTCCTTCACTATAATAAATACTTCGATATCGTTGAAATCGAACAAGATATAATTTGTCGTATTAATTGAAAACTTGATCCCATCTTACTTGCAAAAACATAGAATAGCAGTGATATTAAATCGAGCACGATCATTTCGCGATTTCCGTGTATGTGTGAGTGATTATTTTAAGTTTTACACACTTAGCTTGTTTAATTCAATGGAGAAGTGCAAAAATGGATATTTAGTTTCTAGAATCAAATCAAATCGATCACGTCACATCTAGATTTCGATTAATTCTTAGACTAGATGAAAGATAAATTTTCTGGATGTATAACATTCGCACACTTCCAAGAGATAATCTCAGCCAGACGTGCAAATTTTCTCTCTCTCTCTCTCTCTCTCTCTCTCTCTCTTTCTCTCCCTCTCTCTTTTTTTTCAAAGTTTCCTTCGAAATGGATAAAACACTATTTCGGAATATATATCGCGCGCATGTGTCTATATAAAAACTCGCTATTTCCATCCTCGGTACTTTGTTTCTCTTTCCACTTATTTCTTTAATATAACGTTACGTTATACAAATATCGTAATGCCGCACATGGATGTGCTGCGATGTTTCTTTTGCAGTTTATATAAGAAAGATCAACGGAAAATAGCGTTTTTTTAAATTACAGTCGTCAAGTGAAAAGTTTCTAGACAAAACAGTAGTATTTTCGCCGCTTCGTTTAATACACGCGTTTACTTCTCTATCTCAAATAGAAATACAAATACCTGGGATCGCAGGCTCGCCATTGCTCATATCGCATGCAAAACGCACGCGCGGTTTAACGTGTATGTACGTATACACAGAAAGATGTAACATGCGTATATATGTATATATGTATGTATATATATATATATATATCCATGTATATTATATATGAGATAATAATGATAACAATAACAACGACATAATAATTAATGGTGATAATGGTAATTACAATAAATGTAATAATATTAATATTATAACCAGAATAATTGTTACAATTGTTTACAATGTCCGAAAGGAACGTCACTTCCAGACTTTTCGAAGCATAATCGGATTGCACGACGCGTAATCAAACACCGAGCATCACTCCGCGAGTTTTACGAAAAGAACGCGGAAGATTAAGAAAAGAGGCAAACAAGAGAAAGATGATCTATACTTTGCGCGCCTCATCTCCATTCGCAAACGAACTAAAACAAATGAATAAATATGAAACAAATATTTACATATAAGTTATCATAAAACACTCGAGTTCTTTCAATTTTAAATATCGTATATAATAGTATAAAAAAAAAAAATAAGAGAAGATCGGATAAAGATTGACCCTCAAATTCCATACTCCGACCGCGCAATCGTAACTTTCACCCTGGTGCGAATTCGGCTTTTACGTCTTTGAACGTTAATTTAGATATAAAGATGCGGAGTGAAAGTAAGTTAAAATATGTGTGTATTTCATATGGGAAACTTTACGGGTATCTTTGCTGGTGCAAATTGAAATTCACACACCAGTGCGGAATTTGAGGGCGAATAGTTTATCGATTAGACAAAATCAAGATTTGGTGGTAACAAAGATTTACATCAACGGCAAAAGTAACAATAAGAGAGTAACATTAGACATGAAAACAATTCTTGGTCCTACGCGTTGGATCCTTACGCATCAGCAAGACTAGCTCGGTCATCGATCGGATCGTTTTTTCGATGACCAGTGGACATTGTACTCTGTCATTACTTATCGATTGACTCGACCTGCACCTCTCAAAATACTGATCACGCACTGACGCACGCATGTACACGCATTATCGTATGTTATTCCGCAGATTACGGACCATCCTTGCAACATGCAACGATGACAAATTAAAATTTAAAGCAAAATGACGGACATTGTTCAGACGCGCACGCAATTTTAACGTTTAAACCGTAGCTAATGTGTCATCGTTACATCATATATCTTCCAAATAGTTGTACAATACAATCGCTAATCGATAATTCTCACGAAAAATATGCTGAAATTTTATTTATGAAGGGAACAAATTTCATTTCTTGTGTATACGATCCAGCAGTTTGCCTTTTTTGCTTGAATGCCACACAAAAAGATCACCTTACGAGTGATCTTTAGAATTAGAAGCTGAACATTTGCTTGTGTGAAAGAATGAATACCGTGAAGGAACGATAATAATAATGGCGAGAGACGCACGGTGGAATTTAAAAGAATTCGCTTTGCTTTTTTGCCGTCCCGCTAAATTTCACTACGAATCTCGCGGGATTCGATTATATCTCTCGTACCAAGATATGTTCGTTCATAATACAAAAGAGTCAGTGAGAATAGTTGGATCTAATGAAAGTAAGCGGCTTTCGATTGGATACCTCGACCGTAGCTTTGTTATACTCGCGCGACTCGTTTTTAGATACAAACGTGAGTCAGTGAGAGCGTAGCCTGCGTGTATCATTTCTATAGACCCCGCGAGATAACTAAGTCTACAACATATGACGTTAACGTAATCGCGAGAAGCCTTGTATACTTAAATCGTTAAGTCCTCGAGAGCTGTCATTCATGCACAAAGAGTACAAGTACAATATAATCTCATCACGTCGATACAAATCAGACAAGAAAGCACAACGACAAGATACATTGTCGAACACATTGGAGCTCGAGATTTCTCGTCGCACCTCTTCGCATTGCGCGATAATTACGCGATGATCGGCACTGACAAGAGATCGTCATACGCTCGGGAGAAACGCGGAGAAAGAGATTACGATACGCGAGAGCCAAGATGGAAAATGAGCAAACCGCTACGGAATGTGTGAGAAATCTGGAGATTATACTTACATATATAATACGTAGTTTACACTATATGTACCATGCCAGTGGTGCAATCAACGCGATTTCGCAGCCTGATTGAAGAAAATTAAGAACGAGCGGAAGAGAGAAAAGAAGAACGGGGAAAGTGAAAAGTTATATGGAAATAAGACAAAGTTTCGAAAGAGAGAGCTATTAATCGAGTTCGAAAGGGCCTCCCGAATGTCGATTACGCCACTGTACGGTGTATCCGTATCAGAAAAAAAATTCGGAATGAACTCGTTGCAAAATCATGCTATTGCTGATATACGTGGGGAGATACAGAATGTGAGATTACGAGATATAATATCTGGTAAAGGAAGAGACCTTATTCGAATACATCGACACTCGACGAAGAAATTGGAGAAAATTCTTTTTCTGACACGAACACAAACACCTGCACACTTCGCATTGATATAATGCAATAATTTATACACTCTAATGTGTTATGGATTTAATTTGAATTCTTATGAGATTTAATAAGTTGCAAACGCGCAACTTTCAGCGAGAAATCTGATGCGAGCATCGTGTGAGAGCATCGTCCTTCTCCGCGCGTTTTGTAAAACCCCTCGATATGAATTAACTGTGAAAGTACGCGAATAACGCTGCGGTAATTATAATCATAATAACAGTGCGTCGCATGCGCGCGCGGACGTGTGCTTCTCCGAACTTTCAATCGATGTGAAAAGATATCTAAAAAAAATAAAAAAAAAAAAAAATGAGAATATATATCGATACTTTAGTCACTCGATTTCATTAACGTTCGTAAACTCGTATTTATAAACGTAATAAAGACCGCGTTACGTTACATGTATATGTACACACACGCGCGTACATGCACACCCAGGCACATACACAGACACGCATATACGCACACACGCACGCACGTCGCACACCCAGCCACAAACACATGCGCACACGCACGCGCACAAACACATACACAAACAAAATGTAACACGGTCTATGTGATATATATACGTATATATGTATACGTGTTGTATACATATACATATATACATATATGCAGTATATGTACCTATATATAAATAACATTTTGAATTTATTTGAACGCGAATGTCAATTGTGGCGTTTATCACGTTTCAAAAAAAAAGAGATTATGCCGATCGTCGCAGCCCAAAATTTTCAAATTTATCGATAGACAAGAGTAAAGAATACATTCTCTCCCCTTTTCTTTTTACTCCCGGCGACAACGACGGCGATAGTAATAATATACAGTAAGAATAATAATATAGTAATAGTAGTAATAGTAATAGTATAGTAGTAATAATAGTAATGGTAACAGTAGTAATAGTAGTTGCAGCAGTAGTAGTTATAGCAGTAATAGTGGTAATCGTTAACATTAATGATAATCGTGTAATAACAATAATAATAAATCAATGAATCTTTTTTTTTTTTTATACAACAACCACACGTAGAAGCGACAAATTAGAGAGTAGTAGAAATAACTATTTTTTAATCTCGTAATTTTATATTTATATTCATATATCTCTATATATTTATATATAATAATGTATATCTGCTATATACGTATACGTATGTATGCACACACATGTGACATATATTACATACACACGTATACATGTACATATAATCCTATTTGTATCCTTGTATCAATATATATATGTATATGCGTAGATGTGGAGCGCGCATGTGCGACCACACGAACGTAGTGCGGTTCCACCGTTTGGAAAAGCGCATTTATCGTGTTTACGATACGCACGCCGGACGACATGCGATCGCATAATAATTCGTTCTTCTCTAAACAATATACGTCAGAACGAGAAAATATAGTATGTAGGAACGAGGGAGAGACATATTTTTACGTGAAACCTTCGAGAGACGCCGAGAAAAATAAAAAAGAAAAAACTTGGCAAACACGGCGCTGAGAGACATTCACTCTAATATCTAATAACGAATGATCGTTAGTAATGATTAGATAATAATGTATTAGTTAATTAATGATTATACGAATTTGCAACTTTTGTGCACGCGCTTATACTCATGTATATATAATATATATGTATATGTGTATATTTCCTATATATAATATATATATGTTATATACACACATACACACACATACACTCTCTCTCTCTTACACACATACACACATATATAACAAAATGGCAAAAATGTTCCTCCTGATTTCTCGTAAATGGAGAGATTTCTACTACGATTCCCCATTGAAAAATTTGCATTATTATTACGCGGTAAGTTGTAATAGTAATAGAGAATATACGAATGTGTAGAAAGATCCGTCATATTAATGAAGTACATTCGACAAAAAGTGTTTGGATTCTTAATTATTTTGGATAGGAATCCACTCGTTCCCTAACTTCTCACAATTAGTGAAATCCATTCGTTGCGTACTGCAACTTGTTACCGTGGTGTTTATATCATATCTTTTAGATTCTCCAAGTAATTCAATAAATATATGCCCATGTATAACATTAATAATGCAGAGAGAGAAAGAGAGCGAGAGAGAGAGAGAGAGAGAGAGAGAGAGAGAGAGAGAGATGTGATAGAAGTAAATTGTATTTTTTCAGTATTCGCTCATAACATTTTATCTGCTTTTCCATATTTCTTTTTTCTTTTCCTCTTTTATTCTTAATTCTTTTATTTATTATGAAAGATGATTTTTCCTTTCTAATATTTTTTCGTTAATCATACAATTTTTATATGCATATAGAAATACAAGATTGTTTGACAAATGACGTTAGAAGACTGAGCTAAAAGAGTAGATAATAGGACGTGAATAAATGTACATTTTGTATGTACTTATATCCGTTTATTGTATACGTGAATATGTCACAACGTCCACCGTTCGAAATAGCCGGATGTACAAATATGCCAGTGTCATCAAAAGTGTTTGACATTATAAAATGAGACAGTTAAAGATTATTTCTTTCTCTCTATCTATCTAGGACGGTCACGCGCATCGCGTGTCTTCTTTGAATGCGTGCGAGGGGAGGGGAAAGTGGAAGAAGATAGATTTTCCCGCAGCGAGATGCAATCTACCAAACATCAGTGAGTTCGTTGACCAATAAATTCATTATTTATCGTCTCAGTGATAGTCGCTATTCCGAAGGAACATTACTTATGAAGGATTTGATATCGCGTGGTAGTTGCTCACGACAGCACGATCGTGTAGCAGTTCGCCGTTAATCTCGTAATAGAAATCATTGAAGCTTATATACGTCAAACTTACGCTACGTTAAATACGAAGCTCGAAATACTTTCTTGCACATTACTAGGTAAAAATGCAATTCTCTAAAAGAGATATCAAATTATTGGATTATATATTCTCCTTACATCGTGTATCGCCTTTTCTTTCGTGTTCTACGTCGCGATATATATTATCACTGATTCATTAAACGGTATTTGTGCATTCGTATAGGATAATATCCGGTGTCAAGAGAGACCGAGTGTAGAAAGTGTCGAAACGTACGCGCCGCGCGAGGGCCTAACTATCGGGAATTCTAAATTGATTAAATAAGTCTTATCGTTGATGAAATAAATGGAAACGGGATATCCTTCGCGCGTAGGATTTTCGATCGCATCTCGCCACGAATGCGCGCCCTGAGACTTTCTCTCTCGTCCACGCGCGCGCTCGCACGATTTTAATTGTCGGCTCCGTGATCCAAGACGCGACAAGGGCGAAAGAGCCGAGGAAAGGAATCGCATGAAGAAATATGCTGCCGCCGCGCGTTTGTCAACGCTCGTCAACGCAAACACGGCGTGGCACTCGGCCGCAATTTTCGATCACGATTCCATTCAGTTGCTCTTCTACGCCACGTCGCGCCGTCAGTTTCCTCAACTCTCTCTCTCTCTCTTTCTCTTCCCCCCCCCCTCTCTCTCTCTCTCTCTCTCTCTCTCTCTCTCTCATGTCGATACTTGAATACTTGTTCTTTCTCCCGCTCTTTCTACTCCTCTTCTCGTTCCATCACGACCCCGTCGCTGTCCCCGTCGATGCCCAGCATCGATCCGAGTCGACCCTACTCGTCACTCCACTTCCTCTTCACCGTCTCTTCGCCGTCTTCGACGACTCGTTCCATCTGCCATTGTACTATTCATTTGACGTGACTCTCTGCTTATTACATTGCCTCGCATTCAAATTTTCCAAACTTCGCTGATGATACTTGACGATACATGAAACATCGACGCGAGTTTGATTGCGCTGGCGGTCTCATTATCTCTTTGTCGCGCGGCAACTCGTCTCGATATCACAATTCCATTCGGAGGATCCGCTCGCTCTTTCGGAAAATCGACGTCGGAGTCTCGCTTTCGAGAATCGAAGAAGAAACGCGCGTTGTCGCATGATGCCAGAAATCAAAAGCGGACGATGTTTAAGATGGCCAGCGGGGAACGGACATGATCGGAGTGCGCGTGCATGAACGATGCGCAGCCCAGAAATTTCTCTTGTTCTCCCCTTTCCTCCCCCTCCCCACCCCTCCTCTCTCTCTCTTTCTCTTTCTCTCCGCCACGATCGCGTTCATTAACTTGACAATGGACAGTGTCTACCTCGTGTCCTCGGTGCTCGGTAAAATATCAATCGATTGCGACCGACTCTCTGCTCTTTTCTCGCGCTTCCGATGATCCGCGCATAATAATTCCCTCGTCGAGGCTCCGAGGCACACTTGGCGCGGTGGGTGTGCACGCGTAAATATAGGTAGTAAGTACGCTGAGCAGGTACTGGAGCGAGTAATACATGCCGGCGGATGCGCCATATCTTCGGTTTGTCGCGTTTGGTACTACATGGTAAATGTATTTGTAATCGTGTTATACTTGTATAGCGTCACTGTTCTCCGTCTCTCGAATGCTGCGTTACGTCGTTGTGTGTTCTCTTCGTAACTTCTCCGTACTTATGTATATGTGTGTATTTCGTGTGTACGTGTAATATGTTTCGTGAGGATGCCCGCGTTACGTTGTATTCCGTATTCCTAGCCTTCGTTCGCGCTCTTATCGGGGGATAACGAGCGTTCGCCGAGAGGCGGCAGGCAGGACAGTCCTCTTGGCCGATTTATTTGTGGTTGAAAGAGAACGGGGATGGACCCGTTACCGCGCTCCGATGAAAATGCACGTTCTGCCATTTGTTGTCCCTCTTGTGCCACACGCGGCTTTCCTCACTTTGCTGGGTATGCGCCACGCCTTGTCTGAGGATCAAAACAAGTGAAACGTAAACGATAGTACGAAACGTACGAACTAAGCTATACATATTTTATGAGACACGGACATGTCTCGTCTTGGAAAATCGCGATACTATCTCCAGTGCAGGGAAAATTATAGAATAACGCATATGCAACAATGGAATCTTACAATTGTTGAAACGAATGGTGAAGAGCAACTTTGTGCCCTTGAATATTAAATAAAAATTTTAAAAATCAATTAGAAGCTATTATTATTTATAAGAAATTAATTAGTATAATACAAAGACGAATTTGAATATTAGGTGTACAAAATTAGTTCGGTCCGTTCAAAAATGCATTTATTTTATAAAATAAAATGAATGAACAGATTAATTAAAGTATTGTTCATCGCTGGCTACTACTTTTTCCCATCTCTCAGGCAATTTTCGAATTCCATCTCGAAAAAATAACTCGTCTTTGGAGGCGATTATCTTTTGGAAAGCGAACCGAACTAATTTGTACTCCCAATAAATTATGACTTCTTTCATTCTGTTCGACCACTTAACAATCGCTTTTCGTTATTATATTTACTTACTTGTCCATGTATTGCGTCAGCCTGACATACGCGATGCAAGCAGCATCCTCGCCCAGCAAATGAACATGGGGATTCAGGATTGTCGTATTGACCGCCTTACAGTTTTTCCCCAAGACTGCTTAATATTGAAAAAAAAAGCGAAAAGTTATTCGAATACCGTGATTTGTATTAACGTGCAACATAAAAGTTCTTTTACAATGTCAAAATATTGCAAGAAATAAACGAACGAAAGAGAGATAAAGAAAAGAGAGGAAAAAGAGATCAACTATTACCGTCTATGATGGGTGCCGCAAACATGAAGAGAAAGGAAGACGAACAAATAAAATTGTATAAAATATTTCGAAGGCAATTCTACGTTATACAAAACTAAGCAAACTTTGCGCTACATGGAAACTTTTTAAAATTGCGCATGCAAAGTCTTTTGATTTATTCATTACAATAGAAATTTAATTCTATTCATTTTCATGAAATCTAAATTTTAAAAAGTCGCAAAATATAAGAGAATTTATAAACATCCGGCAAACTCATTTTTACAGAAATAACTATTTTTGGTTATCAATTTCCGGTGCAATGCTTTAATATGTACAATTGTTATTATACATAAAAGTAATCAATTTATTAATTTAAAATTTATTGATTTTACAATGCTTTTATATTTTTTATTCTATATCGAATATATTACATTTACAAATTATACAATATATTTTCATATAAAAATAACTGTCTATAAAAGTAAGTTTATAATAATAATGCAAGTGAGTCATATAATTACCATTATCAAAGTAAAATTTGTGAAAATCCATTCCCTCGACTAAATTACCTAGAGCCTCCGGCTCGAATGCGGTCAGATGTGGATCACAGATTTTCCTGGAGAGAGAGAGAGAAGTATGAAAAGAGATTAATATATCTCTGTAATAATTGTGCATCGTATAATAATTAATTATATAATGATACTTTTTTATTATATCGGTTTTTAATAGCACATCAAAATGAAACGAAAAATCTTTCCGTTGAAGCAAAAACGATTCCGAATTAAAAGATACATACAATGCATATATATGTGTATATACATCTTCCGGTTAATTTAGAATTATTTTTCCATCAACAGAACGATTTTTCGTTTTATTTAAAAAAATTTAATTTAAAGCAACATTTAAAAACAGCAGTCGAGGCTATTGCTCACTACGGCTTTTTTTTACTCATTGTCAATATGGTGTATATTGTATTATCTACTGTATAAATGTTGATTTTTTTTATCATCCTGTATACACACAGAAAATACGCAAGTAATGATTGCTCTCGTAAGTAATCATTACTTATTTTTCAAATATTTCGAACGTTCATATATCGACAAATTTATCATAAGTTCATCACAAGCATTAAATTTATTCAAAATATATTCTAAATCCTAGTAAATTTAATATACTCTTCAATCAAGTTTATTTAATTAAAACAAATTCGATTTGGTTATTATGAAAAGTTTATTTCTTCGATCAATTTTATAATATTCTTTAAAAAAATAAATTCTTGTTTTGAGTACATAATAATGAGTTTTTCTTCAATTTTGTAATAAGTATACTTTAAGATTATTATCAAGAAAATATTCTTCGTTATAGATAACTGTTACTTAAAGAAAAAGAAAATAAATTGAGTAATTACTTTCCTCGGTAATAGATTGACGTATATCTGTGTGTATAATTGGAATATTATTGGAAGCATCGGCTGTTTCTATCAGATTAATCGCCAATCGCCCAAATTCAATTTTAAGTGATGTATGTTGATGAAATGTAAATATAGATAGTAATATTGGTTTAACAAATACTACAAGTAAAACAAAAATATTGATATCTACGTAAAAAGCTTCATCAAATAATATATGCTTTAACAAATACGTTATATCTTAACATAAACTTGTCAGTACTTCATCAATTTTCTATTGTGTACAAACGTACAGACTGGACCTTTGCGTTTCCGTTTTAACAAACGGTTCTATGGTTACTTACGTGTATGCCTCGAAATCTCCGGTGTTGATGCTCTCGATCAACTGCTCAGTCATCTTGATGATTTCCTGTCGGCGTGCTGGAACCGTCAATAAATCAATAAATCAATCGGTTCATACTGAGGCGTCCAGCACGCCCATTGGGCTTACCGACATATTATACGGCACAAACACAGTCGCATGCACTTTATCTTTTTCGTCAACTTTTCTAAAGCCCTACACCATTGCGGCCCCTGGTTGTGCACAAGAACAATAAGCCATACCCGCGCAATTAATTTCCGTATCGAGCGCAGTCGCGAATCGGATTCTCGTGGATCGGATCCTCGTCAGGATCCTCGTCAAAGAACGAATAGCCTAATCGAGACGACTAATTAAAGCAGTAAAATTTGAAAAAAGAGAGCGCTTACAATTTTATACCCGACTTTAATGTTATATAAAAAAAATTGTAAAAAGTGCTAACAGTGAAAACTGTTGTACAATTAAATACTAATAATTACAAAAACAGTGGCATAACTTTAAAATTCGGACCCGGAAGCATCGCCTTTTGAAGACCCTGTTACTGAACGCGACATATAAATATCAAATATTAGCTTACTACAATAACAGAGTATCAGAAACAGGGCGGAATGTAAGTGTAACTGCAATACAAATTTGGAAATACAGAATTTTATTTTTAATTTAACTATCAAATATTTAGTCAAATAATTATATTTCAAATGATAACATATATTATTAACAGACAAAATAAAATCTTTTTGCCTTAAGTTTTATCAGTTTATTTCTGATAAAGTTTTAACGTTGGTCGTAAAAATGGCATATCATGTTAAGTCTTTGAGAAAACCTCACAAATCGAAGTTTAGAAACAAAGTTGCTGAAATAGGCGATTTTAATACTTGCGTATTTATATCTTTCAATAAAGAGATTTACTGGGAACGATTTATAGAATATTAAAATGGTAATATTAAAAATTAAATTAAATTTCAAGGGTCTCTTCTGCCCTTCTGTAGTTACGCCACTGTTCAAAAATATATTTAAAAAAAACTTGCGGAAAATTGTCTATTATTAACTAATTGATTATAGTGAAGAGACCATGTAAAGTGTACAGACAATAAGAAATAATATTGTTTACTTCAACGCGAGCTTTTACCATAATACACGTATAGAAATAAGAATAATGCAAGACTCGGCTGATACAAGTGACCCTTTTCCACTTGGCCTGACATCAGGGATCTGTTACGCTTTCAATGATTTCGTGATTACGAAATCACAAGCGCACAATGTACGATCGTATCTAATTCAGTGGTCGTTTCGTGTCGGCCGAGTGGTGAGATCCGAGAGAGTAACTCGAATTGCCAAATTGACGATTGAGCAGCGCAGCGCGCGTCTCGCGTTTCTGTCATTCTCTTCAACGGCCTTTCCCCTCAGGCTCTCATTCAAGCTGTCGCTTCATTCACTCAACACAAGTACATATCCATCCACATGTTCATCGACGCACACTTCACGCAGTGAACCTCCTGACTTTTCGATCGTATTCGTGCTCTCCTCGTTGGGATGTTTCATGCGTAACGCGTGCACGCATCAACTCGACAGTGCGTCTAAATTGTTTCAATCTCGATAGAGGAACGAACGTTCATTCGTTGGATTAATGATTACGAAAGTAAAAAAAAAAAAAAGAGGTCCCTGCGGGCATTTCCTTGTCGATTCCTTTGTATTTGTTGCAATTTATCTCTTATAAAAGTCATCACGCATATCCAAATTAAGGATCGCATGAATAAATTAATATTTGATTGTATATATTATACCATTTAATCTAACGATGCGTTCGTCGATATATGTTACTTACGTTATAGATCGGCAATTACGTACATGGAAATTGCGATCATTCCTTAGATGCCGTTTCAACAGTTGAAGCAAAGTTCCACGAAGAGACTTGGAAAGTGTTCGGAGATCGCAAGAGATGTATAGTGTATACGCTATTATTTCGCGTCTTTAATCATCGGGGATTGTATTTCGTATAATATATATATATATATATTCGTTAGAGATCGATCAATTTTTGTGTGGATTTTCAGTTTTTCTCTCGAGAGATAAGACCCCCACATCGGAACGAATCAGCGTGATTCTTAGAAATCTTAAATGTTTTATTAGATCACACGAAATAAACGCGATTACGTCAAAGTAACGACACGAGAGGTACGATGAAAAATAATAATGAAAACGGATTTAAAAAATTTTACTTCGGCAATTAATTATTGTACTACGATTTCTTGAATACCACTACCACCATCACACAACCGCCAGTTTTACCATGTTACTATTTCTGCTACTGTCCTAACTAATTAATTAAACTTTACCGCACCTCGGTATTCTATTACGAAGTCCACCATCCCCGGGTCTCTGATCGATCTGTCTTTAGACATTTATCGTCGCATTAAGTGTAACACACTCCTCTTCCGCAGCTCTATATATTTTACTATTACAGCAATTACGTGAATTACGTGAGAATAACTTTACTCATTTGATATTCAGTAAGCACTTTGCACCATGAAGCATGTATAGTTGTGGGATTATATTATAGAATGTGAGAGATCTCTAAAAGATCGATCGAGATTTTAAGAACAAGTTTTCTTCGTAATCAAATCCCGAGAAATAATGTTTCTCGCAAAAGTGATTGCATTGCGTTATTATAATATGTAATAAATTATTATCACTTAATAGTCTTTCATGTAGAATATAGAATTATATATGTATGTTATGTTATACGAATTATGACATGCGGTCATATTTCGTATTGATATGTGTATTGCAAACCGTGCGATATCGGTCAATAACGCTTCTGGAGAGAGAAAACACATCGCATTAAAGAGGAATTAAAGCACTTTATAAGAATTCATTGGTACAAGTAATTCCTGTAATAATTATTAGTTATGTTAAAAAGAGTATATTAAAAGCACTCTTAAACTAATTAAAATTCAATTCGGTTTTAGCTCCTTCTTTGGCGATATGCTTCCTTTCGTAAACTCCTAAACGATAAAACTAACAAGTCGAGGAGAGTACGAGTACTTCCTCGATTCGTTCCGACTTAATTTTCCTTGGTCGCTTACATACGACGTAATCTCGCACTTTACCTGAGCACTGGGAGTTGGTTGAGAGCTGGCTGCAGGTCTTGATAGGACACACGATTCTTATGTCTACAAGCAATATATATATATATCCCTTTCGTATTAAAAAATGGGCAAGACGGATGAATTTTCAAGACAATACTCAAGCTGCTGTACAAACACGAAGAGGATTAAGCTTCGCCCGCACGTCGAATTGCTTCATATTTTTAAATATCCGTTTCTTCGACTAACACGCAGAGAATTTCGTTAAGTGTGTGTGTGTGTGTGTGTGTGTGTGTGAACAAGTATTATATTAAAATAATTTATTAATGTAATATAATACGTACATGTATGTAATATGGTATGCAACTCATTTCATGTACAAGAGAAATTTATTCCAGTCCGTTTATCGTAGATTATAATAATGAAAATGATATTATAATTAGTATGCATATAATAGCATGCAAGCACGAACTGTTCACGGAGGTCTCTAGCATATAACGTTTCTCAATTTTTAATTCTATCGAAATGTAAAAGCTATTAGCTTAATCCTCACGTGCGGTATCGTCTAAGAGGATTGACCGTCTCCCCCGAGAGTTCTCATCATTATCCATTTTCTCATCTTCCTCTTGGTTTGCCGTTTCCGTTGTCCAATCGAATTTGTTATGTTACGTTAGATTTTGCTTGAATGTTACCGCTAGTCGATGTTGGCAACACTATTTTCATGTATACATTGTGCATGTACAACATTAATAAACGCAAAATGTCTTTTATACTTGTCGTTTTTCATTTTAGATGCAACGTAGCATTTGGATTCGAATGGATCCTCCTGTCCCCTTTATTATGATTCAGCACGATTTACTATGTTCCGATTGAATTCAGATTAAATAGTGTGCGTGCATGCGAACGCAAATTGTACGAAGACAATCGCAAGACATTTACGAAGTCGAGGTGAATCGGCACAAGAGGCTTCGATCGTGTACGCCCAGAGAATCTTAATCACGTTAACTTGCGGCTCGCGGATTAGAGCCAGTATTTGCTGCGATTCAACTTGAACGAATACTGGAGCATCGAGCTAGCTAGTTTCCAACTTGTTTTGTATATACATATATATGTATAGCACATGTTTGTGATATATAGTGCGCCTATTAGCCTATCAAGAGTCACCATTAGTTCGGATTCAAAACCATCCATTACCAAACAGCAAATCTATACCTGCGAGTGTCACGCTTTCCAATTATCGAAGCGAACGCACATTTAGAAAAGAATTTTTTATTTACATGAAAAAAAATATCGTAAAAATGTATATTTATTTAACGATGAACTAAAAGATTCGACCGAGATGATTTTTCGTGAATAACGATGTGAATATCAAAATCCCATTGTGATGTAAACAGATCTTATACATTCTGAAATTTTAGTTCAATCGATAATAAACAATCCGCGTAATGTAAATTTACTTTGATATACTTACTTTGATATAAATTATAAATACTAAGAGCTCTAAACGACGGTAACCAAGGTAGATAGGGTAAACATATGTGCAGACGGTTTAGTCAATCTTGGTTACTTATTACCTGCTTGCGATGCACAGAGATAGCATTACGTTGAATATACATACGTTGAATATACATACATATGATAAATAAGATAAAATACAATCAAGGATATTCGATCATTAACATGATAATGAATGATAATTTAAAATATATACAGAGAGATATCTAACGTGATATCAATTGGTTGATCAGATTAAATTTATACAATTTGAGAACTGTAAAAATTGTAAGAAAAAATTATTGTAAAGAATGATTAATCTATTCATTCTAGTTATCCCTTAATTTTCGCCTTAGAATTTCTGTTGAGACTTTTAGAGGCCAACCAAGTCCCTTTTTCTTACTTAAGACATTCCCATGTATTATCATTGTTGCTGAAACATTATATGCAACAAAATCGAAAAAATAAAGAAATTGAATTCTCTCGATGTAAAAAAATTGCCTTTTGACTAAGTCAATGAGGTATTCAGATTATTATAACTACTCACTGCGCTCAATGAATTCTTACATCTAATTGGCATATTCCGTTAGATCTAAGCATATTCAGATCAAGGATGCAAAAATTCACTGAGCGCTCAGAAAACGATTGTAGTTTTCTGAATGCACCTAATAAATGCAATGATAAGATACATTATCAAATTCGATTTTTGTATATTTCTCCGAAAAAATTAATCAACTAGTCATACATAAAAGGTTTCATAAAAACAATATAGCCTACTGATTAAAAAATAAAATTACTGTTACATATTCTTCTCTTTATTGAAACTTTATTGAAAGATTGTGTTAAATTCTTCTAATCTTAAAATCTTTTTATTTAGAATATCATTTAAATACTTTTTCTTTTATTCTTTTCAGTATTGCCCGCTGTAGAAATATTTAAAGAAAGCACGAGGGGGGCGGTTTGAACGAGTTTCAAAGCAAACCGCAAGACGTGGGGCTCCAACATGGTGATTGCTGCGTGTTCCTCTCCCTCGCGTTTATCCCGAACTTACGGGCATCAACGGTTTTCTTACCGTCTTCGGGATCCTCGTCGAGGACGCAGCCTATCCGGAATGCGTGTCCGTCGGCATCGTTCATCCGTCGTGCTTCCCGTTCTGCACGTTTTTTTTTTTTTTTTGCGGAGTAGGTGCATGCAGGCACAAACAAGGGTGTGCGATCATAAGGCGATACACGAAACACGTGCAGCATGCAAAAACACACAGACACCCAACAAACAAAAACAAATTGATAATACCGTTCACGCGGAAGAGGAGCGCCGATAACTCGAAGCTTTGTCGATAATCGTATTTGAAGGGATTTTGATCAATTGGAGATACCAGGTCGAAAGTATACATGGAATTTATAACTTAAAAAAAAAATATAATACTCAAATATCAATTTTTTTTTTAGATATATCTAAACAAAGAGAATTTTGGATAAATCAAACGTGATACTAATCGTAAATCCTCGTAGATCGCCATCGTTCTTTCAAATTTTACTGTTTTAAATTATGTTGTATCCAACGAAAATATTCGTTCATATTTCAATCTCCCTTCTGGGATTTAATGCAATCTCTAATTTCATTTCCTAAAGTCGCTATTCATATCGAGGTATTCAAAAATACCGATTGCACGCGTTTGTGTGCACTGATCTCATCGAGCACGCTATTCAAGTATCAATGTTGGTAATCGTATTAATGTCAATTGTCTGGATCACGCAGAAGACAGTTAATTGACATAATGGCGGTCAAGGTGATGTCTCTCGTCTGATAATATCCCAGAAGACGAAGAAGTTTCTACGTCAGATTAAATCGCTTGCGAGGTATCGGCTCAATAACCAGGATAAGTTTCGATTGCGAGTAAGAAGGATAGAGGGTGGAGAACATATAAATTTTTATGTGCGGTACTCGGAATCTACCCGATACGTTCGAATTACATATATTACACATGAACTGTATACATGTATCGTTGATATCTTCTGTTTAACATTTATTTATATCCATCCAACAAGCGACCCATTGGGAAAATGGAAAACACGATTACAATTTTTGTGTGTTTACTATTCTTTAACAATATTTTCCGATACATAGCACGAGAGAGATTTTATTAACAATAAACTTAAAATGATTCTGTAAACAGAAAAATATGTTCTATTGCTAAGAAGGACGATTATTCAATTTGCTTTCTTTATCTTAAGTTTAACGATTATCTTTAACAAAGAATATTTTGCACGATAATTATATTAAAACGTACTTATCATAAATTTTAGGAAAGCGCATTACTATGTATCTATACTAAAAACAATAATTTATTTTCTTTAGAAGAAAATTTATAAAATTGATCGAAAAAACGACTTTATACATTATAATAAGCAAATCAAATTTGTATTAATTTAATAATCTTGATTGAACTTACTACTCAGAATACATTTTAAATAAATTTGATATATAATAAATTTGCAGATATATAAATTTTTGAAACAAGTAATCATTACTTACGTACAGTAATATGTATATATATTTGCGTTGCAAGCAAATTAGAAAAAAACAAAAGATATTGCAGCACGGCGATAAAAATGACTTCTGAGCGCATTTCACTTATTAATTAACGGCTTTTCATTTATATCGATCCTTTCACATGTATTTGTATTCACGTTTATTTAATAATGTTGTTTTCATTGCATTGATCATAAATTGGGTTCGCCGACCAACAAACGGGCCGATAGCTGTAATTAATCCCATTATTTTTGCACATCCATTACGCTTTATTCGTAGGCGTAGAGAAAATACCGAATCGTTTTCCATAAATCATAGCAAACATTAATGTCGATTATTTATAGACGGTACAAATGAATGTGCGGTTTTCGGGGAAATACCTCTGTCTAGCCGTCTCGTAAATATCCTACGCGATCAAATTCTCCGAGTTCACTCAGCGTTACCTTATCGCCATTTACAGCAACTGTGCGACCTATGCTACGACGATATCCTGCATAGCAGCCGTTATAATAATAATAAACATGTGAATTTTGATCGACTGAGGAATTCGATAAAAAGAAGCAACTAATTCGCGATTATGAATCGATCTTACAAATTTGAATAAGAACTGACAAAGAAATTGCCGACGGCGGACTAAAAATACACGGAAAATCGATGCTCTGACAATTCGATAGACAACATCAACAGGCATATATACGCAATAAATAACGATCAAAAATAATTGATTAAATTCTATAGCATGCAGCGACGCTCGAGAACGAGTTAAGAGATCGTTTCCACCCTCTAGGAAGAAGGGAAGAGTATCAAGATAGAAGGAAACGTGCCAGATTATCGTGCTACAGACCGGTGGGCGAGGAATCCTGGCGTCGCGATGCTATCGGCTCGTTGCTACCATTCGCCTGATGGCTGATACTGGCCGGCGACGATGGCGAAGCGCCGACTTGGCTGTTCTGGCTGTTGTTGCTGCTACCGCTGCTGCTACCGCTTCCTGCGCTGCCAGCTAGTCATGCAATCAACCAACCAAACACGAGCTAGTGTCAACGTCAAAGAAGCCATTGCACGTCGCGTCGTATTCGCGTCTCGTCGCATCGCGTAATCGCGCGTCTGACCCGCTCTAGACTGGCGATGCTCTTTAGACCGACTGCTCCTCCGTCTTTCGCGGATTCTCGTTTCAATTCGTTTCATTCACATTCAATGATAAAATATAAGAAATGACAATACACAGGCTCGAAACTCTTCACGCGGACAATATTTTAATTATTTAGATACATTTTGAGATTATCGCTTGATTAAAGTGTTTGGCTTACAATCTTTTTGAGTAAACATTTTTAATTAATTTTTAATTCATTTTAACTAAATCATAATTCAGAGAGCTCACACCCAAAAGATTTATAATTTTTTATAGAATAATCACATGATAATTTAAAACAAAACAGAGACGGAGAGAAATAATTTATTTCGATGTAAAATAATTTTGCAATTTATAATAAAAAAAATTATTGCAAATCATAGTTAGAAAATATTAGACGCGTGACGCAAAATAAATAAAATATTTTAAACTCTCAACAATATGTATTAATAAAAAATTTCAATTGCAAGTGCATAACAGTCAACTATGAAAGAAAAAACCATTTTATTTGACAAATTTGTTGCATCTAGTGTACTGATATCAGTGTCAACATCACTATTTATGTCGTTCATGTCGTTGCAGTTTGTCTATTTCCACTTGCTTGTCAGATCCATTCCACTTGCTGAACTTAACAGGAACGGACGTGGCTAGCAAGATGGTGTAAAACGCGATCGATCATCGCGTCGTCTATTCCCGACGCTCGAATCCGTAAATAATAAAGATCCGACGAAAGAGCAGCGGAGCAAGGGAAGTCATCGATATCGCCGGAAGAGCGAGACGGAAGAGCGAATGCAAATCTCAGTATATTTTACACTATATTTTATAGCTGTGTGAGTCCTGTTTGTCCGAGGGAGGTGAAACTTGGAAAATTTAAGGAGAAATCGTCGAATAAATCGTCCAGTCAATCAATCAGGATGAATCGATTCGTCAGGCAGTATTGTTTACGTATGTAAATATAGTCAAGGAGAAATCGAGGAGTGGCGCAAAGAGAAACGACAATATAAAGAGAAAGCTTTTCTTCCGTTTTCGTCGCGCCTTTTACGGAAGGATCGTCGGCTGAGGATATTATCTAATGTCTATAAAAAAAAAAAAAAAAAAATCAACGAGTGCGTGAGTGTACGTGTAACGTGAATGTACCATATATGGCAAACGCGAAAAGTACGAGCTCGTTGTATAAAAGGTGTGAGAAAGCGTGAATGATAAAAGACAAAAATAATGCAACAGAAGCAAGAAACATATAGTGACGAACCTTGTGACATAAGTGTACATTATGTGGTAAAAAAATTTGTTTACAATAAATTTCAAATCATGCTGCGGCTTTTTAAAGCAGAAACGACTAGACCGATTCCTGCTTCGTCCTCATTTAAGAGCGATTATTGCTATGCATCGGCTATAAGTATACACATACACGTATATTGTATATATAATATACGTATGTATATGTATGTACACACATGTGCTCTTTACAAAGAATCTCAATAAAGCGTGGAAGCAGAAATGGGTCATCCGGCTTGGGTAACCTTACCGATTCGTCGATCAGACTGCTGTTAGTTGCGCTTTAGCATCTCCTTCCAGTGTACGTGCCTATTTCTCACCCTGCGGTACGAGAGAAAGAAAGAAAGAAAGAAGGAGAGAGGAACAATACGGAGAAAGGGAGAGGAAGAGAGTTCTATAGAATGAATTTCGTGAAGATATGCTTCCATAATTTAAAAAGTCAAACAATTTGAGCAAGTAGTAATTGATAATATCACACTTTCGATTTATATGTCATACGATTTCTAATTAACACCCATTTAATCTTCTTTTTTCGATTTACCTATAATATTCTCTGATTTCTCAATTCTCTCATTCAGATCACAATGCAGCAGGTATTTTTGTGGTTGTCGAGTATAAACATAGATTATTGAAAAATTCAGCAAAATGTCGGTTGACAAAAGTTTTGTGTCGTGGAACGATTTCTGAATATGGTAAAAAGATGTTTACAAAATCTAATCGTAACTATACCTACATCTTATTCTAATAGTTACGACTTGATAAGTTCAGTTACAAAAATGTAAAGTAAATTTAATTTGATTAAAGCGATTTGGATTTTTGAACATTTTTAACAGTCATCTCTTGAAGCACATCATTCTCTAAGTTCATCATTTCACACGTGAGATTGAAAGAGTGAATTCAAAAAGTATCTCATTTATACAACACAGAAGAACGTTTTCTCGTATTGAGATGAAAGAATAGTCAATTTTAAAAGTTTCGCATCCGGAAGATCAGACCATCGGAATTCGTGATAACCTCTCCGAAACACATTTCGGTTGCCAAACATTTCAAACAAATTGCATTTCGAGAACAACGGCAAATATTCGATACTTTTAACGAAAATATCGTTGCAATCCTATGTTTTACTTTTCTTCATCAATTCGCGTTCATTGCCTCCATCTAATGTAATCAATAGCAATCGTAATAAAAACTAGATGAATTCGACATTTTCGTGGATAAATAAAAGGTTATTTACTTATCAGCGAACGATTCCAACCGCTGTACTTTCTTTCAGTGCATTTGAAAATAATTACATTGACTTTTAAATGAATCCACTTGAAATATATAATAAGATTTAAAGATATCGAGATAAATTTGTCTTTAAAAATTCATAGGCTTAAAAAATAATTTTAATTCTATAAATACTGTTATTCATAAAGAGAGAGTTTAATCATACAATCGTTTTAAATTGTTATCTCGAGAATAATTAAAAAAAAATTCCTTGACTGTAGAGCCGCAAAGGATTAAAAATTAAGATTTGAAGACCCCGATTTATCCTGCATTTCAATGCAGCACATCGAATCTAAATTCTGAATTTACCTTGGGTCCCTTGAAGAAGAACCGCGGCAATTCCGAGGGGGTTGCCCGTATTCTGAATCTGGGCCTGGGCTTGGACCTGGGCCTGAATCTGGGTCTGGTTCTGATTCGGGGCCTGTTTGTTCGCCATGGTTGTGGCCGCGCCGACCATCCTGGAGAACGCGGACATTGTCGCGGGGCTGCTTGGAGGTGTACCTTGGGACGTGCCAAGAGCTTTTGGAGGGAGATCGTTTTTTTTTTTGTTTTTAGGGGTGCACCAATCAGCAACAACACGGGTGAAAAACAGAAATGATCACAAGGCACAAAACGCAAGAAGCAAATTCTGCGAAACGACTGCTGTCGCGACGCGCCACCTGCGAATTATTTGAATCTTGATGATACCAAGAATGATACGTGCGAAGACAGAAATATGTACAGAAGAAAGTATATAAACCTTGAGTATCGATCAATTATTACGAAGGGCGCGTTCGAAACAATATGAGGTCACGAAGCCACACTCTACTAATTGGATCAAATCATATAATGTTATTATTGAGCTAATTTGTGTTAATTGTAAGTAGGGATTAACATGTAGCATTATCGAGCAACACTAGCCTGGCAAACATATGCAAGAATTAGTTCCCGAGAAATTCTGCGGAATCAGACAGATACACAGAATTGGTGAAATGGGAAAATGTTAGCAGAATTAGTTAAAAAAAATTTTTTCAAAGAATTGAAGAAGAAAATTTAATTTATTCATCAGGAACACTGTGTGTTGTAGATTATAGGGAAAAAGAGAGCAAGAGAGAAAAGAACGGCGTCAATTATTTGCGAATAGCCATGATCTTGTATAGTGGAATGAGAATAATGCGATCCCGCGCAAATTTTCGCTCGTGCGTTCTAGACAAGATTTATTCTTGAAATAGAAACCTAGAAGCGCGTTTGTATATATAATCCGACTATATATGTAGCGTTTTGTACCACAACGAAAGCTCATTTTGCATAAAATATTGTTACCAAGCAGTTCGCGATTAATATAGAACAGTAACGATCGGTATAGAAAACATTCCTGCACCAAGATTCCCGATATTTTCTCAATGAATTCTTTAATTAATCAGAATAGACTTTTTCTTAATTATGCAGTTGTTAAAGAATCAATTATTTAAGATTTAAGTTTAAAAATAAGCGTAAATTTATTTTCAAGATGACTTTGACAAGTTTAATTCAAGGACGCGTAAAGATATTTAAAATTAAATCTCTTTCAAGTTGATATTTGTTTTCTGACAGAAATCAATTTAATATTTAATTAATGAAAGATTGGTAAACACAATTCGCAAAACGAGCTTAAAATGTACTAAAGCTCTTCAGGGTCACAATATAAAAAATTATTACAATCATAATAAAATTAAATTTGATATTTGTTCTAAGAAATAAATAGTACAGAAGTGGTTATTTTTTTACTAAATTATTCCAGAATAAATTCTAAATAAAATTTTACGTCAAAAAAAGTATTTTCAGTTTTCCGAATTAAGCAAATAAGCTGTTATAAAAGTAAAATATAATTGTGCGAGATGAACGTAAATATACATGTACGTAACAAAGTTACGAGGAAGAACAGAACCCTCCAGAAACTCACCGTAATTCTCCATGTGTTTGGACGAGCTGGGTATGGTATTAGCCATCACAATTATGTTCTGCGCGATAATATTCCAGAACTAAATCACACACGCGAAGGACACACAACGCTATCGTAACAATATGGCACAATATAAAATGCAAAAATGAATTTTTTGCAAGGAGGCGAAGGTAAATTTAATCCCTTTAGTATAACACCGGAAAATATTTGTGAAATAACCGGCACTGAAAATCGACAGAGGCAAGCTAGTCGGGCGCGACTCAATTCACTTGCGAGGTGGGTCGAACGTACATACAACGACGTTTTGAACCGCTGCCGATCTATTTTCAAGTAATGCCAAGCGGCCAGGTATTTTTGCTGACAGTACGTCTGAAGAGCGCGCGAGGCGGAGCGGGATCGCGACGCTTTCCCGTAAGGAAATCCGTCGACTTGATTAAAAAAGAGAAATTATATATGTGTGCGTGTACATTGTTTCAATAACCAGTCAAAATTTCTCTTGAAGTTCTTTGACAATACGAAAACGAAATTTCGAAACACAGCCTCGTATTAGCCTTGTAAAGGTTATATAATGCAGTGTAAATTTTCAAGTGCAGAGAAATCAAGATATAGGATACATTCTAGAAATATAAGTATTTACGCTAATAAGTAATTGCCTCTCTCTGTATGATTCTTCTTATATTATTGATCGAAGTAGACACGTGAAATATTAATTATTGCGTATTGATGAAAATAAGATGATAATTATCGTTGCAGAGATTTACGGATCAAGTTCAGCTTTGTATCTACTGCGTGGTTAATTTTACATAGGCTTAAACTATCCACGTTGAGCTTACACTTGAGTAAACTCCCTGCGTTAGTTAGTTGGAATTATAAATCGAGTTAATTATAACTTTCGAGTTAATTACCACTGTAGCGCCGCCTTCATGCCGCTCTCATTATGATATAGTTATAACTAATTTGGCGGCAAGGACTTCATTATATACATCTATTATACATCCGTGAAACATCAACAATTATTGTTAATACTAACTGATTATTTTATTATATCCAGTTTTTTTTAAACATTTTAGTTAATTATCTGAATTTTCATTTCTATTCTATTTAATTGCAATCATAAATATCAATGACACAACTTGTTTACGCGCTTTAATTATAGATAAGATTCTTTAATAAGAGAAGAAAAGCAATCCAATTTAAATATACGTAATTTATAATTACAGAGATGTAAGAATAACTTTAGATACAGTAAAAATATTACGTATATTTTTATATTCTCTTTTTTCTGAAGGAATCTTTCCTTGCTTTACGATTTATATTCTTCTGATTATAAGTAGAAATTAGGAAAATTAATAGTTGAAATTAGTAATAGTAATGGGAATGAATTAATTACCGCATCACAATCCAGTTATACATATAGACATTCAAATAAACCGATTCAAAGGATACATCGTTCTGCACATAACGTATTTCGTGGGATTCGATGATCAGTTTAATCGGCGTCAATCATAATGATTATCAAACAATATAATCTCTAACTACACTCGCATTAGCTATATGAGATGTTATATGAATTTCGCTATTATGAAGCCGATTCAAAAGAGAGTTCAGGAGGATCCTCAGTTTAGACTACAGGATTAATTTTAAATTGATTAGAAGGGGAAAACTCACGTACGTAAGAGGAAAAAGAAAGCAAGAAAGAGACGGAATTATCCAGAATGTTAGTTGACGAGACGAAAGGAGAGAGAGAGACGGTAAATCCGCCATACAATTTCGCAGAAGCGGCAAAAGAAAGGGTGCAAAAGCTCGGGCTCGAAACTAGACACGGAGCCTCTCATGAATTGGCTCTCTCCCAACCGTGGTGATACTCGAATTATCCTTCCCCTGTCAATATTTCGTGGATAATACATCGAGATAAACGTTTCACGCATAGTGGCTGATTTATGAACGCTCTGGAAACTAATACCGATCGTTTCTGCAGGCACAAAGAAACGTTGTGCACGTTCAAGAGATCACACACCATTCGACTTAAAGCTTCAATTAAAAAAAAGGACACAGTCGCGTTTATACGTTAACATGTGATTTTTACTGGAATCCAAGCGATCATGTAGATGATATTTTAATGTGCAACTAGTTTGATGTAAATGTGTACTTACGGCAAAGTATATTTTTTACAAGTCGAGTTTGTGTGTAATAAATATAAAATTTATTATTCAATTAATAATTTTAACTAAAATTATTAATATAATAAATAACTAATTTCATATACGTAATTAATTTCCACACATGTATATCTAAATTATTACGTAAAACACAGATCGTTATGTTCAAAATTCTGTTCGTTGCGATATCATATATGATATCGCGAAGCAGCACAACTGCAAGATATCACAATTATCATTAATTGTAATTAGTTCTTGTCCAACTGCCGCAACAACAGTAAGATAGCTTTAAATTAGATTAAACATAGACTCCAATATTACTTTAAATTAAAAAAGAATTATGTAATACAAAAATAGCTCGTTTATCAACAAAACAAAGATAATTTTCGTTTTGCGCACTTTAAACTTACGCCGTATATATACGACTTTATCGATTATTATTCAAAAACATGTCAGCTGCGACAAAGTAGAATTATCTTTCCACATGTTCGCTTGGACAAAGTGCCGTACGGGTTTGATAATGCATGAAATATATCACAAGAGTTTGAATTTTATCTAAAAAAGGAAATATTCGTCCGCAATGCGTGATAAATCAATTGCGTTTGTCTTGATAAGAACATGAGAGATTAAAAAAGTCAATGTTATAATATAAACAAGTACATTACGCGAATATTATATGTATGTATAATAATAACAGGATAAAAATTACACAGTGATAATTATATCATAAAATCTTGAAATTAATTAAGCGCGGATGGGAGAGGCCAGTGCAATCGCGCGACGTTTACAAAGTAATGCACAATAGATACGTTATACGTATATATCTCGTCTCGAAAATTGGTTTTACCTTCGGGTTCTTTGGCAATGACCGTGCTGCTCCGGTCGACGCCGCCCTTCTTATCCTCTGTACAACATACACACATACATCACGTATACGATATACGAACAATTTATATCATTACATAACGCTTAAAATATTTATATAGAATGTTGATAAAGCCACGTCGCATGATCAGAAGCTAAGCTTATTTTTCTCAATTTATCTAATACTGACATATAAATCATAAATATCACTTCCTTAATTATTCTTATAAAAAAAATACATTGTAGAAAAGTGAAGCTTAAACACAAATGTTACAAAAATTTTATTATTCACTTCACTAATGTGATCACTTCTTTTCTGCATTTAGCATATTATACGCAAAAATAAATTTTTCTGCTAAGCGATAATGCTAAGAAAGAAATAATTTATTTGATAATTGATATTAATGAATTATTGTATAATAGAAATATTCGATGAAAGTTATGGGAAAATCAATCAATCAATCAGTCATCATTATACAAGTAAATATAAGATATACAAATAGTGATAGATGATAGTAGATTTATAAATTTAGAAGTGATACACAAAAATCAGCTTTATTTTTCTGCTATGTATTCACTTTATGGCAAACGAGGACCTTCTTTGGTAATACAAATTAAACTTAGATTTTTACGTAGTGATACATGGCCAAATTCTACGATATTAACATTTATTTTTCATTGTATATTCGACATTATTAATGATAAAAAAATAACGATTGCTAAGCAACACAGGCAAATATATGAAACGACATAATTAGTAAATGTAAAATATCGCCATTTACAGCACAATAATTATATATATTATAGTATACATAAAATAGACATTTTCAATACAGAGTAATAACAAATCTGAATCTTCTATCGTTGATTATAAAAACACAAAATACGAAATTTCTTCAATAAAGGAGCAACGCTCCTCAGTAAAGAATCACCAAGGGATTCTCAAAAGATTTCTACTTAAGTTTATCAAACTCCCAATGATACGCTTTTATATCTTTGTACAAAATTTTCATGTAAATATTTCCACTTTAAATCTCAAACCGTCCGTACAAAAGTAGAGAATATATCGTTACATCCCCGTGACATTTTTACTACGTTAACAATTTCTCATAAGCAATAGCAAGAGCTATGATATCATCATGCCTTTATTACTTTTACTATATAATAATTTAAAAATTATCGTGTGATGACAAGAAAAATTTTCTCGTGCAAAGCAAGAGATTCATTACTTTGCGCCGACTATTAACCGTGCAAATTAACGGCAATCGATTTCTTTCGTACAATGCCACGGCTACTAATAAAAACACTCGTTATCAAGATAAATTAAGTGATGATGCTTAATATAATGACGACGAGGGCGTAGCAAAGTAGAGAGCATCGTTTGTGACTGACAAAAATGTAACGATCGTATCATGACTCAAACTTTTTTTTTTCTCCTTTTTATTTATGGGAACTATGAAGATCAGTGGTGCCGTTACCATCGAACGTATATAAAATACGTATATAAAAAAGAACGATCGTTAAGTAGAAAAAAAGATTGGGGAGTACAATCGATTGATAATTGGGATAGTGCTGGAGAGTATACTTTGCATTAAGAACGTGCACACGTCGATAAAAACACGTATCGATCGTATCTCGAGTAGTAGGGAAGTAAAAAAAGAAATTGTAACACGTGCAGATCGAGCCGACCGTACGGTTTCAATGTTTCGGTCGCGATATTCGATTAATTATTTAGCAAAGAGTTACTATAGAAATACTATAATAGAATTGCTGTAGATAGCATTACTGGTTATTATAAAAATTTATAAATTTTAACAATTATTCTCTTTTAAATATACATGTTAAAACTGTTTTCTTTGTGTATGAAATATAAGATTTTAGAAGTATATAAATTATTCTGCGTTTTAAATTATTCAAAAATCCTTCAAATTTTAAATTATTAAAGATTAAAATTTTTAAGCTTGAAAATATGATATGATATAAATCAATTGTTTTATTTTCTGAATGTAAATCAGATTTTGTTTCTCCGTATAATTTTTCGAACGTAATAATCCGTGAGAGGGTCCCGTTTACCTACAAAACGATTGCCTACAGCTTCATTTGCACGTAGCAATATTGTACACAGCACGTTGCACACAAGACAATAGGGAGTTTTTGCCGTATGTATATTCTGTGTATAATGTTGTCGTGTATGCAATACGCTGTGTGCAAATGAAGTTGTAGGCAATCGTTTTGTAGGCAAGCGGAACCTTCCTATAATAAAATTTTCTTGATCTATCTTTCGCGTGTAATCATCTTGTCTCATTAATCAATATAAAAAAAAAACAAATTAATATACATGCCAAATCTGCAATATAAAAATTACAACTTGAAATTGATGGAATCGTCACGAAACTTTGCACTTACTTTTAGCTAAAAATAAATGGTCGAAAAAGAAAAGTATTTCGAAGATTTTTCTGCGACATTAAATTGTGATTCCCCTGTCTTTTCCTCCCTCACGTTATAATCTTCTTGATATTCGATTCGAAACTTTGTAAAAAGCCGTACGATGGCGAGCAAGCGTGCGATAGGCGGAAAACATGCGAGAAATCGGATCACACATAAAAAAGCAACCAAGTGAAGGAGGTGAATGGAATCAATTCCGAGTTGGCTGTTGCATGGATGAATGGGTTCAGTCGGCGGACCAAGCGGACAAAGCAAGTGACAAAAGGGTGGGAGAGAAAGAAGACTGAGGCAAAAGCGAAAAGACAGGGATAGTGAGACAAGCGTCAGGGGGAAAAAAAAAAAGAAGATAAAAGTATAACTGGTGTTCATAAATCCATAACACTGGGCTAAACATCGAGAGTCGAGATTTGTGACGACGACAGAGAGCGTGTCATATGTTTATTTGTTGCGTGCGCGTTCGTGCGTGCGTGCATGTGTGTGTGTCTGTGTGTGTGTGTGTGTGCGTGTGTGTGTGTGTGTTGTGCGTGTACGTGTAAATATGCGCGCGTTTGCATACATGTGTGTGATTTTAAATTTGGTATGGTAATAATGACCTAAGTAGTAGTAAGTATAGGTAAGGGCGTGTGATAAATGCGAGGAGTTTGAAGGTGAAAAGATCATTCGAGAACACGATCGCCAGAGAGGCACGATCGCATTTCTCAAACGGTGCACGTGGAAGAGTCACATAGAGAAAAGTACATATAAAGTGATAATCGGATGGAATTCCGAACATCTGTTATTTACTTCGTTATTTCCTACTGGATCCTTCAAAATTAATTTTATACTGTGATCTGTGTGATTAGTTTTGCTGTAACTATACACGATGCAATCCTAGTAGTCAACTTATATAAATAATATCAATTATTCAGTAAAATGAAATCCTTTAAATTGCTACAGATAATATTATTATAGGATAATCCGAGCTTTTGAACGAAATGAAATCCTGCAATGTTAAATTTCAACGATAAAATCAATAATTTTATCATCGGTAAATCTTTACTCATTTGTTCAATGGTTTGCATAATTCCATTCAATATAAAACACTCGATTGTACTTTTTCCTCTATAGAGCTCGTTAAAATAATGATTCATTAAAATGACGACAATTTTTATATCTGTGATAACTGTCACTGCCACGTAAATTTTGGCTGTTTTTTTCACCATAAATTTTTAAAATTAAGAAATATTTAGGCAAATAATGCGGCGGTACATATACGTTTTATCTAACAATAATTTTGTTTCCTCCATTTACAATCGCGCGACATTTAAACAATAAAATTTATTTAGCTTTCTCTTTATTGACAACAAATAGTTGGGTTCATCGCATCCTTGTTCTATCGCTCTGGTTCACACAATAAATCCAAGAGACGAAATTAGAGCCAATTAATTAAAGAGTCACAATACATAATCTAAAACGTGGCAGCAAAAAAGGAGAAATACAAAATATATAACACCAAGGGGGTGTGTGTATGTATATGTGTGCGGGCATAAGGAAACACAAGTATGCTAGATGAGATCTAATAAACGTGCGGAAGTGATGATTGTGACATGTTACCTAAAAAGCTCTAAAGGTTTTCACAATTGAATTTTTTTCCTCTTACGCTGCTAACGTATTCAATCCACCGTATAAATTTATAATATCGAAATAAACGATAAATGAAACTGTGGCCGATTCGTTGTTTGCAAATTTCTAAGTTGTAAAATAATTCTTACGGCCCGAAAAACGATCGGAAAACGAGCATCTTTCGTTCAATAATAATCAAAGCATAATTACAAACCGTGAAAAAGTATAACAGCGGGAGAAAGTTAAGAGTTTTCCTATGCTAATTGCGGCTCTAAGTGATAAAAGGTGAATATGCTGGAAAAGAAAATGCAAGCAAAAGCAGCGTGAGCCGGAGCGATTCGTGGTTGTTAAAAAATTAATATGAACGAGAATGAGTAAAAATAGAAGAGAATAGAGAGATAAACATCGAGATTATTACGAGAAAAGTTGTATGTGATAATACCGAGTGACAATACGCCGTAATCGCGCAGATAGACTTACGTTATAAGAAATCATAATCCTTTCAGCTCGTCTAAATTGTAAAGAAATCCTCTATATGCTCACATAAAATTAGCGTTCACATTTTATTAACAATAATAATAAGAATAAGAATAAAACTGTTTTTAATAATTAATTGTGTGCTTATAATTCGTTTACCGAGGCTTAACACACGCTGAAGTATTACTATTACTACTTGTAATATTAATCTTGGAAGGCTATTTCTCGCGCGAATTATCTGTTTCCCTGTGATTACGCTGATCCGAGTGTTTTATGTAGTAAAATTTGAATAAGACTTGAATAAGATTAATGCGAAGGAAACATCGTGATAAATAGACTTAGCCGTTCAAGATTAATTTGTCGCAGCTATCGCTACTTGGACTATTCTACAAATCCATTTTCTTCAATGTACTACATGTACGATCAGAATACAAGTGAGAAAGAGAAAAACGCGTTAAAATTTACAGTACTACATCTACTGAATCGTCAATAATAATTATCTCTTTGTACTAGATTGTATCACGAGAAAGCGTTGTCTAATTATAATCGAGCCTGTTCATCTTACGTTGTTAAAAATGGTCGCCTGTGCGGTAATCGCTAAAAAAAGATGCATTGCGTTAACAAGAGAACTTATGACAATGGTGGTTGCAGATAGTGGTAGACTTTTACTTCGCGACATACACCCTATAAATAAATTAATTCATGTTTGCACACGCAAATTGCCAGTGAATTATTCCCGAAAAAAAGTAGTGTAGGCGAGAAAAGAATAAATCACGACGTAACAAAAGCGCGTAACGAAGCCGATGCGTGAGTGACACGAAATCAGTGAACTTTTTAGCCCGACTTGTGTAAATGCGAAGAATCAGGATCTGCTGTAAACCAGAGCAACTTACGCCTCCGCTTTCGTTTTCTTTTTTTTGAAATAATATCCATTATGTCCGATTGCTTAAATGCTTCATTATGTATATAATTTGTATTACAACTTATATATGTAATCTACAATATACAGTATGTGTGTAATTTTTTCTCTTGGAACATATTAATGGAAAATGTTTAACCGATTAACAATTTGATTTAATTTTTTCTACCGTCGCCCTTGTTATACAGATCCTTAAAATATCGACCGTTTTTATTTCGAGTGGAAAAACGAGCGAGATTACCAGACGATATATACGCCATGTTTGAGATGTTAAATAATTGTATGTTGATCAATGGTTCCACGTGTACGAGTTACACGACGTTTGCATTAAAGCGCCGCGTGCTCCATTCATCGTCTATTTGACTTTTCGAGGGAAAAAAAAAAAAAATTTCTTTCACGCGTAAAAAATATTACGCGCGTGAGCGTTCTTCAATCTTTGTTTGATTCTGGAACTAAGCGTCAGTAACGTCCGGTAACCCGTGCGTGAACAAATGCAATCGCAATGATCACATTTCCTCTCCATCGAATGATATATGATGAACGTGTTTTGAACAGAATTGCGCTCGGTCTATGGTGTTTGTAATCTAATTATATACGGTGCATTCTTCCATTTGCTGTTAAAATACGCGTGCGCTCGTCATTCGACTACGTGTGTTATGGATTTGTGAGCATCGGCTATTGGGGCACAAAACAACAGTGTAATCACTTCTCTCACACAGCTGTATATATTTGGTGCTTTGCCTTTACGGTGTCTGTTATAGGAGACAGACACGAGTACGGAATCACCTGATTTGTGCGGACGTGTATATACGTGTGTTCGAATAAAAGCATGGAAAACAGATGGCATCGATTCACTTTCGTTTTAGTTTATAATATTTTGGCGAATATATATTGTATATTTCAACACCATCAGTCATAAAACACAGGGTCACGCGAGTTTGTATATGCAAAGTGCATCCAAAATTGCATTTGTTAGATAATATGGATGCCCAGCAAAAATTCTGGACACTGGATGTTAAAACCAGTGTCTTCGTACAAGAATACAAAAGCGAGTCCGAGTAAGTAAATATCTATCGATTAATCTGTTATATTTCTTCGTAAACATTAACGCAATAATACGTCAATTATAAGAAATATATGAATTCGCGCGATGCTGATGGGGATGAGGAATGAGTTTTTTCGTGTCGCGTGTAGAATGTTTTGGAATTCAAAAGCGAACGTTGTTCTTGGATATCCGGCAAATTATATGCTGTGACGTAGGAGAGGAGATGCAGATTCATGCAGAGATAATTTGGATTGTACTTTCTCACGCCATATGCAAAACACAAAATTCCATTTATTCGTCAAAATATTGTGTTACAGTCTAATAATCTACGAGTAATAGTTGGCCTATCATTTATTAATTTTGTATTGAAACTGCAGCTAACAATAAACTGTTGTATATATCGATGCAAAATATTCAATTTCGGAATACTGCACATTTTTTAAATGTAAAAATTTCAAATTAAAAATGCAATACTCTTAAATTGGTTATTTGCATAAACCAAAACTTATTAATTCGTTTGTTAAACGTATTTGATCGTTACGTGCCAATGTAATACGAAACGGGTGAGTGTCTCGAAAGTACAATCTTATATTTCTATCAAAATCTCTTAAAGGAATTCTACTTTGCTAGAGAATGTAGGAACGGGAGAAATCTGACAAATTTCTTCGTGAAAAAAAAAAAAAACGGATGAGATCTGATCGATATCCACGCGGTATTAAATTAAACCGAAATAAAGATACGTCGAAGTTTTTGAATAAAATAACGCGAATTCAAGTTTACAGACTTAATTATAATTGAGAAAAAATATGAAGAACGTGTTAAAAAAAAACGCACAGGTCTTATATATAATATCTGTGATATTCTGCGCTTGTCGAATGCGATTTGAATAATTCCTTCCATTTTAACAAGCTGTAATCTGTACGATACATTATGATTTCTCGTGAGCATGCAACATAACGACATTCGCGTTGTAAAGCATATTTTGATAACCATCGATTACACCTGACTTGCGTATCACGAATTGTATTCGTAAAGTGAGAGAAGATAGCTTTGGGATGCACTGTCACGTGTTTGCGTACGCGTGTATGTGTCAGAAAGTGTGTCAGAACAGGGAGGGCATCATCGCACACGATAGAGAAGTTGCGAGAAACATCGACTATCAGAGTTAGTCAGGAACTTGAAAGACAACTCGTACGAGAAGATAGATTCGAAGATGATAATGCAGAAACGAGGTAGACTCGATCTAACACTACCTGTGTATACATATTAGGTCGATAATGAGGGTATGTAAAATACGTTTAATACACTTCGCGCTAATGCTTACTACTAGATACGACTATTTATAAATTTCAAACAATACCGACAAGTGTCAATTGTATCGTGTCAGTATGATACTTTTATAAGGAAAAGCAATACACTTTAACATAATAATTGTAACAATAATCAATAAAGTTTATTGGAACTATTAACATTACTCCGATTGAAATACAATTTAAATAAAGATTTCTACGTGTGTGCGTCAATTATACAGAAATATCCTAAATAAAAAAAAAACTTTCTTATATATAGATATTTATACATTTTTGATTGTCTTGCTTTTCGCTGTGTATGGATATCTTCGGTGAACTTTGAAGAACGTACACGTGCGATTGAACGCGACAGACGAAAGACAAATAAAACACGAAAGAGATCGATCGACAAGTGTATAATCAGAAAGTATCTACAGAGGCAAAGAGAAAGATCAAGGCGAGATCGATTTTTCTACGAACCAGGAGAAAGGGACCAAACTTTAGGATCTGCGACCGAGAGTACACCTTAAGATATATGTATAATAAAGGAATCAGCACACATAGGCTTAATATTGTGCCAATAAAGTTAAACCATATTGGTTTGAAAAAAACATTTAACGAAAATTCAACACAAAAACACTATAAAATATTGTAAAGAAGAGTTAAATCTTCTTCAAACGTTTTCTCTCATATAATCAAGAATGATATCAAATATCTACAAGTATTCACGATTATTTTTCGTAATTTAATTATATCAACTTTTGTTTCGAATAAAAATAAGTTTAAACTGTCTTTGCAATTGACATTTTCCTAACCTTTTCGCAAACCTTACAACTGCGAGTGTATGAATAATCAGCACAGGTGTACGCAGGGTGGAAAAGGGATAAGCCAGAGGATAAGCAACGAGTGGATATTTAACTACTCGAGCTATCGTCCAACGATCGACTTGCACATGAGAACGAGAGGAGTATCTTTAATGAGGGATCGATACGCGCGAGTACTTTTTACTTTTATGCGCAATATAAGAACGTCCGTGTAAATTAATCTCCCGCAGTAACTGCGATAAACGTGGCGTTAATGCGTGACGTTGCATCAAAGAAGAAAAAAAAGATCGGAAAAATAATTGATTTAGTTGAGTCTCGAATATCTTTTCTGTAACATTTCGAACACTTTTCAGACAGTCCCGCCTCCAATACGCATTTTAACAGTTACACATTATTGATACCAGCCGAAATTCAATTAAATTTTGTTTCCAATTTCACATGACAATACCATTCGAATTAAATGTAAATTATGAAATATACAATTTTCACAAAATCCAACTTGATCTTCGAGTGCAACAGGGACAGATAGAAATGAATTCTTCAAATAGCTATTTCATCGAATTTAAGAGCAACGTTGATCTTTATATTATGCGATATACCATAGGATAAATCGCGAACATCAAGCTGTAGTTTCTCCGCTTGTACTCAAGTTTCTCATTAAATTCTCATAACGAGCACGCGGTAAAGAGATGTATATGCCGTGAATCGCTATCGCGAACTAAGAACTTGTATATCGGGCCATTGTTATTGGGACTATCACCGATTATTCTGCTCGCGTGATGACAATACCGCCGCGATGTGGCGATGGAATCGCTATCATAATTCAATCCAAGCTTTCGAGCACAACGGCGACGTGCTTTAGCAGCTAGATGCCAACCGGCTTTAAACAAGTGCTCGTTACAACTAAAATTGCATAAATGATTTCTCACCGAAATGTCCTTGGCGATACCGTATGAGAAACTATTCGCGTGTTCTGCGTATAAAAGTCGATATAAATATCCGTATAAAAAGATTTTAAATATTTATGATATGAAAAGCATATATATATCCGATTCTATCTATTCCTCGTGGTTAGAATCACGATCGTGAAGATCGACTGTTTCAAGCACCTATTTTCGTCTACAATCGGTTCGTCATAATGATCACTGTTAAAAGAATTCAACGCGTTTTGCAAATACGATAAAAAAAAGAAAGAAACACGCATAAAAAGGACGGGGATCTCCTACCTTTAACATCATCGTCTTCGATCGTTGTGCTGCTGTCAGTGGATTCCTTCACTTGAGAGCCATCACCCTTCTTCGTGATAATGCTTCGACCTGGAGTGCGCAGAGCGTTTCAGTAAATCGACATTGGGAAAGTGGAAACAAAAGAAAAATGACGAGAGGAAGAGATAGTAAAACAAAAGTAGTATCAAAGACTGTAAGATAGGAACAAGGAAGAAAAGATAAAAAGCGAGAAGAATAGAGAGAGAACATATAAAATGGAACGATCTTGGAATGAAGATATGGATTAGAAGGAGTATTTATTTCGAGTATTTATTTGGATCCGTTGCCTGACGTGTATCTCGAAACGATCTCGAGAGCGTTTCTCGATTTTAAATGTCTCCACATCTAACACAAAGCTCGAGTTTGAAAGGAACGTTGTCGAGAGTTCTTCTTAATACGACAGTTAAAAAGAGCAAGTTCGCTTCAGATGCTAAATGTTAATCTGAAATTAGCTTGTCGCTTAAAAAAAAGGATAGAGAAAATAAGCAGACATCTTCTTTTTCTACGAATGTTTTTTATTGAAATAAAAATGCAATCAAGTACTACCACCGTAACTTGTGTATGTTGAAATAAAATGTTAGTAAAACCATCGATTGTTCGTTCACAACAATCGACCTTGTCATAACAAGTAACTACCGATTTAAGTTTCTATATCGTCGATCAGACGGTATATTTTCATTTCGATGTGATTTTGTGTATAAATTTTTGTCTATATCTTTCGCAATCCATACCTTGCGTTTTTACACAACGTAACTTTTGAGTTTACAAAAGAGAATACACATTTTCTCTCGCATAAAGAAGAAACTCGCCTGTGTATACATTATACACACACATATATATATATATTTCTTTTTTTATTTATACACGAATATGAAAGAAGAAAATATGAAAGAAAATTCTATCTTTCGAATATCAATTCAAATATCAACAATTAGATACTTCATGTTCCTTCCAAATTCCAGTTTTAACAAGTGCGACTCTAATTTGTATTCGTTAATTATTTTAGCCTAGTTACCAATTGTAAAATTTATTCTTAATATTAGTAAATAAATAAATAATTAATTATTCATGTTTTTTTAACATGCAGGATTAAAATAAGTGTTCGTTCGTACTTTGCAAATACGTATTATAGGATTTTTTAGGAAGAACTAAAATAAAGTAATGAGTGGAACAAATTTATAAACACAAAAATGGCAATCAAATGTAGCTAAAGATCGTTGAGGATATATGTATAATCGGGTTATGCACTGGATTGGACATGATGGAAATAATCATTCCAAAGAAAAGACCAAGCGAATCGGACAAGACAAACAGACAGAAAAAGACTTAGAGTGCAAAAGTCAAACATTGGAGTGAATGCGCTCATGCTATGATAAACTGTTTCCATTCACGTGATTTGTATCGATGCGTCAATTTATCTTCTTAATATTGCAACGAGTATAATCTTTCGTTTATCTCACAGAATCATATCTTCAGAATTCTAAATATACATACAAACTGTGCTTGACAAAAGCATCACCAAGCGTCACTTACAAATAGATATCTTATGTGGAGACAGCAAATGTGTATCCTTGTACTAAACTCTTCGGAAACCTTCCGAGGATTGGATAAGTTCAAAGTATTTAAAAAATGCAATACAGAGTGTAAACACATGCAATTCGCGATACAGCGAAACAAATATTTAACTAGCGACTTCTACCACATCGTGTTAAAATATAGCTCGAGACATGAAGAATAAATTGTGATATATGGATTGTAGATTTCATTCAATTTGTGATAGAAATTATGTTTTAAACGCACATAAATTGAAAGAAATTAAAAAGAAAAAAAGAGATGAAATGCGTCACAAAAGTGTAAAGTAACTTTGGTTTCGTTTCCGACTAAGGAAAAGTTGACAAGTTTTGCAAGACAATACTAAACGTTACTTCATTTAAGAAGAATTTAATGAAAAATAAAAACTAACTTATATAAATCTCTTTTTATTACTTACTACTAAAAACTTTTACAGACATTCATTCTGAAGTATAAAACGCTTCTGTTTAATAAATTACTGTTTTTAATCTTTCTTAGTACTCCGTATGTCTAAAACGACGTTAATTTTTAATATTTTAAAAATTAAATAAGCACGATTCTTATAGGATATATTAAATGTAATCGCGTCCGTTCGTTTGACGATACTGGTTAATAAAGAAGACGAAGTGATACGGAAGAAAAAGCAGTGGGACTTCTAGAGAGAGATGTAAAAAAAAATTATTTTCAGGATATATCGATCGAAAATTCGCGTTATAGAAGTAGTCGTCTAACCAGTAATGAATCCTTATTTTTTCGCATGTATTTTTATTACATAAAAGTCGACGATTAATTGCGACTCTTTGGCTCTGTATATCGATTCTCTGAAATTGCTATTGGAATAAGAACATTTTATACATTTTTGATTCATTATTTTCTGGAAACAAAATTATTTGGAAATTCAATTTATACCTATATTTAACATTTCTAAAACAATAAAAATTTGAGAAATATTGAAATTTATTTTTTAATCTGATTGCGCGAAAAGTACACATCTACAATTTATTTCACTTTTAACACTAATATATCTTTCTTCGGTATCCAAACAAATTAATTCAAATCTAGCTACTCTAGCTTGGAAGAAATAATGTCCCTTTAAAATAATTGCTGGAATGAGAATATTCGGCAAAACAAGATAGAACCTTTTTAGTATGAATATTCAAGCCATGACACGTATAATGTGCAAACGCATTCGTGCGAGATATAAACGCATAGAAAACATAAGCAAAAAGAGAGTCAGAGAACGCCATACAAATGGTTAACGCGCAAATTAGCGAATCGAAAAGCGAAACATGCCAAGAGAGGGACGACGATTCGTATGGAGATCCGGCGTTTTTAAACCGGATTAACGCGTCGGCCCTAGCATGAAGAATTGCATTGTGCCGAATAAAAGAACATTGAAACATTTAACCGGTTCGGCTTAAACAACAACACAACGTTCCTTCATTGCGGATTATTTTCGATAATTTTCAAAACCTGTCTTGTGATTGAACTTTATCGCTATAGGGATACGATAAATGGAATAAAAAAATATCATATTTTAATTTAAAAAAATTGAACATTATTGCAAAATGAACGATAGATTTTTTAAACAATTATACATTAAGAAATGAACTTTTGAGATAAATTTAATATACTTTTTATCAAAGTTTTTTCGCCGAGGTAAAATTCAATTTCAGCCGGAAATTCTCGCGAATTGATCGTCCCTCATGATCTATTATAATATCGACTGTATTGTGTATAACATCTCATGTATACATCCGAGAACTCGTGTATATGCGTGATATATCGGTCATCACTCGAATCCTATTGTATTATCAAATTGAGTAAAAGCACCGAAAAAAATCGTCGCAAGAATAAAGCGCATACATTTTGCACCTCCGACCCATTTCGCGCGCTATGGTCTACCTTCGTCAAAAAAATCAGTCATAGTAGATAAAGATAGAGATATGTAGAAAGAGAGATAGATAGAGAGAGAGAGAGAGAAAGAGAGAGAGAGAGATTCGTCAATGCTGGTTGCTCGCATTCTCTCATCGGAGGACATTGGCAGACGGGCGAAACCCTAGTTCGGGAATTCATGGATTCATGGATTCACCGGAAACCCTCGAGAAGATTCTATGCGCAGTTTGAGATTCATAAACCCATACGTAATTCGCGTGGTTCTGCCACTCGCGGTAGAAATACATAAATTTACACTGCGCGCCCAAAATTCATGGCCGCGAGAAATGCTCACTCTTGATTTAAACGTTTGCTTTATAGCTCCCCGAAAACGTTGTATAAATTGAATTAGCATGAAACCCACATTGTAATGTCAATAAATTAAGTTAAAAGCTTGTCACATAATTTATTTTTCATTAAACTAGGTACGTCGCGATATTTTTTTATATACACACCACGTGAATGTATAAAAACAATGTTAGATTAGCGCTTTACAGTATAATAACGAATTCTAAGCATGATATTGCTACAATTTATGATATTTACACGTCACAACAATAAATACATAAGACTTGCAAAATATCTTACGAAAAAGTTCTCAATTATGTAGAATATAATATTTTATATCGTGTCGAAGATATTCTTCCGTTGTGCTAAGACAATGTTTTCGTTAATATATATTGAACGTGATTATTGCTTTTGAGAGAATACGAGCAACGAACGAGAACCTAACATGAATATGCAAACGGAGAATAATGAATGAGTCTGCGAGTCGATTGATAATCCTTTGTAAAGGATCTATAATCTACCCTACACGTCGTGAGATCCAAAATGCATTTCGTGATCCATTATGAAACGCTGCGCGGAAATTCTTGTGGTAATATACGGGTATTGTAATTTCCGGTAATTATCGCCGATACTATCACTACCTGGAGAGGGAAGGAAAACGCGAATTATCGCGAATTATCGAAATCAACTAAGCATACATGAACGATCTATTTGTAAGGAACGACTCACGACGTAATCAAGATTTCATGTTTCAATATAGCGACCTTCGCAAATGTAATTTGGGATGTTATCTAAATTTAAGAATAAATTGTTTTATGGTGCATTAAATATCTATATTATTGCGTTTAATTAATAATATTGCGGTTATAAAAGGTTTAAAAAATAATTGAATTAATTTCACAAATTGCTGTTAAATCAAGTTTGTCAGAAGCTTATCCGTTTACCTCATGTAATAACAAATCGAATAATACAAAAAAAATCGATAAACAGAGCTTAAGAAAAAAATGTTAATTTTATTGAAACGATATCAACGTCTTTAGCATAACAATTCAGTGAACATTGTCAAATGGTTGCTTCGACACAGATTTCATCGCGAGATGAAGAGAACAAAAAATTCTCTTCAAATGTCACCTACTGACGAAAACAGAGAATCACGTGGAACCGATCTGTAACGATTGGTTCTGGGTAGAACGTTGTGTGCCAATTCCATATGTTTGTTTTATATCACAGACGACACAAAATCGCGTGAGATTTAA